TTTATATTGCCTTTTTATGATATAATAGTGTATTTATACAGCTTTTAAAATGTTTTTAAAAGAAATAGATGTGGTTCAAACGTCAATTAAAGTAGTGAAGGCAAACAAAATTAAGTTATTATTTAAATTTTTATTTCCTGGTGAATTATTACGTTTAAACCGTAACAAAATTCTAAATTTTTCAGAATTTTCTTTTGAACCTAACGATGATGAATTTTCAAACAAACTGAAAGAAATTTGTGATAATTTTAAATTTTCGGAATTAGGTAAAATTTCTGACATTCTTAATATTTCCAGTGAGGGAAATAAGAGTGAAATTGCTAAACATATCTTAAATTGTTTATGTGATTTTAAGTACTTAAAAAATTCTTTTGTAATTGAAACTCCCTCCGAAGATGAGGAGGAAACTACTCAGTTTGAAAGTAAACAAGCTCAAACTGATTTTGAACCACATTTACCTACTAAAACTTATGTAAATCAATTTACACACGTTAGTTTAAATTCTATTTGTACAAAAAGTAGTGTTGATAAAGGTATGGTATCCTATAGTCAAAGTTCTAGTAATAATATAGATAGGGAAAACGAAACAAAATTAATAGTTAGTTTTTCAGATATTGAAGCAGTTACCCCTATGTTTAATGGAAACTGGTATGAGAATATTAATTCTTGGTTTGAAAATTTTGAAACTTATGCTAATTTATTTAAATTGTCTGATATGCAAAAATTTTTATTTGCAAAAAGATGTATGAAAGGTAACGCATTAACTTTAATTAAAAGTGAAACTCAGTTAAATTCGTATGAAAAATTAAAAAATCTTTTGCTTGAGGAATTTGGACTTAGTTGCAATAGTGCAGAAGGACATGCAATGTTGCAAAAAAGAAAACAAAGGTATAATGAAACTCTTCAAGAATATTTCCTAAAAATGAAAGAAATAGCTGCTCAAAGTGATATTGATGACTTAGCTCTAATCACTTACATAATTCAAGGAATACCAGACCAAACAAATAATAAAACAATTCTTTATGGAGCCAGTAATCTTTTTGAATTTAAACAAAAACTTAAACTTTATGAAAAAATTAAAAGTGACTTAGATAAAAATAAATTTCAAGCTAATAAGGGACCATATGTGAAGAAGTTAGAAAACCCGAAATATGACTTTTAGTGTAATGCACCAGGACTTAAAGCCTCGGCTTGACCTAAAAATAAAAATGTAACCCCAAATGTGACTAAACCGAAAATACATCATACAACACAGGAGAACCCATTAAATCAATGTAAATATTGCTCAAAGAAAGGACTTTTGAATCAATTTCACATGGGCTCCACGTGTGTAAACAACCCTAATAATGTTGTTGATGTAAACATCCAAAATATGACAAATAATCAATAGTAATTACTAATATCCGGATATAGAGTTGAAAATGAATACCTAAATGGATATAAAGTTGAAAATGAGTACCTAAAATGGATATAAAGTGGAAAATAAATACCTAAAGGGACGTCCAATTAAAAACAAAGAGATATTATTGAATGTTGATACCGGGTCAACATTGAATATAATACCAAAAGATTTGGTGTTAAAATTAAATATATTCCTATTAAAAAATGTGAGGAATTAAATATTACTCAAACAAAAGGACATTTAACACTTAACAAAATTTGTGAGTTTCCCCTTAAGATAGGCGAAATTGTTAACTCAGCTAAGTTTTTTAAACTTGATACTGATTTACCATATGCTTTATTAGGGTTGCAAACTTGCAAAGATTTTTGTTTGTTTATTGATTGTGTCGGGCCAGTTGTTACTAAATTTGATAAGAGACTGATCACCTCTGCTAATTCTAACAATGACAACTTATCTTTGCACATTAGACATCTCAAAATGTTAAGGTTAAAAATGATGGAAAAAAATAGAAGTTAAAGATGTTTCAGTAAAAGTAAACATTGAAAAAAATAAGGTAAAGGGTAACAATAATAAAAATAGGAAAAAGAAAGAATGACCAAGAAACTAATTACTAATTAAATAAAAAGAATAATGTAAGTAAACAAAATTTTGAAATGGTACATGTATCAAAGCTTAGGAAATATCACAGCCCACAAATGTGGAAATTAAATCATGAATAGTGTCCAAAAGAAAAGAAATTTTTTTTTACTTTCTTCAAAGGAAGAAGTGAACCCTATATTTTTGAGAGATCCGAATCGCGGGTGGAGATGTTCACCTCAGCATCATTTGGATGTGATGGTGATGTAAGTTGAACTTTTTTTTTCTCAACAAGGTGAAAAAAAATTTTATAAACTATCTTTGTATGTGTCCAATCTGGATCTCTCAATTTCCGTCTGCTTCATGAAATTCTGTTTTCCTTCACTTTAGAGGGGAATACAGACTTTCATCAAGTAACCCTTTAACCACACAGAATCTTGAATTCAGATTAAATGACACTTGTTGTCCAGTTCGTTCGCATAAAAATTGTGTATATTTTTAACCACACAGAATCTTAAATTCTGATTAAATGACATGTTGTCTAGTTCGTTCGCATAAAAAATTGCGTATATTTTCGCGTGACAAATTTTTTGAAAATTTTAGTAGAATAGTTATATAAACATGTTTCTTTTTTCTTTCTGTTTAGTTGACTAAACAGATAAATTGCATTATCATGTTTTTTACATTTTTGTCATTGTAAATAATTTTTTTACACATAACTGAAAAAATGCTATTTGTAGTAGGGAAAAGGAACAGTTGTAACGACCTAAATTTCAAAAATTTAAAGTATTCAATTTTTTTTAATTTGGCTTACCAAATTTTTTTTGGGGGGGATGTAATACAAAAATTATAAATACTTTTGTATTAATAACAACATTGAAACTCTTTCGTTTTCATAAAATGCCTTTGGTAAAAAATAGGTGTAGAAATTCTATTTTGGGACTTCAAGGCTGAAAACATACCATTGAGTTATAATTAGATTTATATTTCAAAGGAGAATTTATTTTTAGAATCTTGTCCCTCTTTCACATCCATATTAGGAAGCATTAAATGATTATCGATGATGCGTAAAGTTACAAACTATGCCGTGACTGAGCCTTTTCACCTCATATCTCTTAGTATTTAATGCGTGAGCGATGGTTTTCGCATGTCTCTTGCTGAATAGCGTGTTCCAATAAACATCTGCCGGAACCATGTTGTAGCCCTGTTATTAGAAGCCGAAAAGGATAGGCTTCGCGGACGAAACTGTTTAAGCACATGAGGGGGTAGGAACTAGGCCTAGTGTGCTGGCGTCGAAGGAAGGATTCCCCACCCCATCGTCCACCACCTTACGTCCGCTGCTATCTGGAGATGTTGTCTGCAGCTGGAGCTATACTATGGAGCAATGCTTGTCCCATCCCCGAGAGCCTACAGTTCTGAGTTCTGGGCTGGTATTCTAAACAAACCACGAGTCGAAGTAGACCTTCCCCGAGTGACGCCTTCCCCTGACGTCACACCGTCCACTGTTTTGAATTTCGATATTCTGAACGCTGATATCAGTCGAGTAGACCCGTGGACTGGTCTACTTCATGAGTAGAATAGGGGTGAAGCTTTTTCCGTGCTATCAGCCAATAAAAATGCTCGAAGCATTCTGATGCAATTCACACGTCGACAAGCTGTTTGAAAAAGCCATTTAGGTTTAGTATCTATTTCTGTTAAATTGCTGTTTTGATTTATTTGTAGTTATGAGTGGAAAAATAGTTAGCAAAGCTCAATTAGAAATTATGGTTTCCTACATGGAACAAAACCCAAAATTATACCGGAATCAATTGCTTAATGACTTTACCCACAGCTATAAAAAAAACTGTGGGAAGAGCTTTCTTTAAAGTTGAATGCGGAAGGATCATGCTCAAAAAGCACAGAAAAATGGATTCGTGTAAGTAAAACTTTTATTTTATTGCACTAATATTTGATATTTACATTTATTAAATGAATTTTATATACATCTCTGAAATAAGTTTTTTTGTGGTTACATTTGATAATAATAAACAGAGAGCTATTAGATAAATTTCACTAACTTAATCTGATAATTAAAAAACTAATGTGTATTTTTATTAGTAGTATATATTATTGAATTGCAATCAGATCTTTGGTTTGCGGATTCTAATAGCGATTAAAAAACAAAAATATTGTTTTTCAGAATTGTATTACAAAAGCACATTGTATCGGCATATCACATGTATGCTTTTTTTTAAGAAATTAACTTTTAAATGCATTATTATGTGGATAGTAGAAATGAACCAGAAAAAAAAATTAAAATATCAGAATTTTTAAATGTATAAACAGCATTCATGCTATATATCACTAAATGGTTGTTAAACAGATGGTTTTCAATTTGCCCTTTGAAAGTTATGAATTTTTTTAATTATGATTTAATAGAGGTTGAACGAAGACTTTTTTTATTCAAGAAGGTAGTATTCATATCATTTTATTCAAGTAAGCTTTTTATTTTATTACCGATTAGATTAATTTTATTTATTAGTCTAATAATTAAAAAATTAATAGTCTAATAATTAAAAAATATATTAGTCTAATAATTAAAAGATTTATTAGTCTAATAATTAAAACCTGACCGGAACATCTACTCATGCACCTTCGTGCCCATATCAGGAAAACTGAGATGGGCACAGTAGGCATTGGCCCTCTATGGGCTGTCGTGTCACTGAGCTTAGAATTTATATCACTCTATTTGTTTTGATAATTAAAGAATTTATAATTTGCAGTTTAAATTCTATTTTCAAGGCAAGGTTTTTATTTTGCTCTTCATTATTGATAATGATTTGAAGTTAAGTGATTCTGTTCTATTTAATTTAGACATGGATTGATTACAAATCCAATGTAAAGGCGAAGGCAAGCGCAATAAAAAACAGCCAGAAAAAAACAGGAGGAAGCCCTGCGTCTGGAAAATCATTAACTGATTTGGAATCAAGAACGGCAACTCTGATAGGAGACTCTTTGATTTGTGGGATGCAAGAAATTGTTGATCCTGATGCTGATTCGTTTATTGAAAGTGTAAATAGTCAGTTTGAATGTAAACAAACTCAAACTGATTTTGAATCACATTTACCAATTTGTGTAAATCAATTTACCCAAGTTAATTTAAATTCTATCAGTACTAAAATTTATGTTGATAAAGAAATACAGGTAACATTAATAGTAATAATAATAATGTTCATGTATCCCATTTGTTAAAATTGGATGAAATAAGAGAAGCTCAAAGGAAAGATAACTTGCAAGGTAATTTTATTGATATTTATAATGTTTTATGTGTACGTAAAAAAGGTTTTACTAAAATAGTTGTTCCATTTTCGTTAAGATTAAAATTACTGCAAATTGCTCATGATAAATTTAATCATCCTGGAATTCAAAAAATGATTAACTTAATAGCACCTGTTAATTATTGGAATAACATAACTTCAGATGTAACTAAATATGTAAACATTGTCAAACTTGCCAACTAAATTAAAAAGTCGAGACAAAAAAGATTTGGATTATTACAATCCTTACCAGTCTTATGACTTACTAGCAATAGACAGTGTTGGTGGATTAAATTACTATAATTCAACTAAAAAATATTTAACTTTAATTATTGACCACTTAACACGATATATTTGGGCTTTTGCGTCAAAATCCATTAGTTCAGAAACTTAAGGCATGTTTACACGATCCAATTTCATGGACAGAGATTGATTGATATTGATGGAAACTTGTTTTGCTTTGAGCTTGGATCGTGTAAACAACCATCCAAGAACTTGGTCCAACTTCTTGGACGATAGTGTAGCGTGTTCTACTTTCCATCCAAGTTTTTTCTCCCTTAACCAATCAGCGTCTTAGGTTTCATGACGTCAACAAGCGGGCATATATAATTGTTTCTTGTCACTTTTCATATATTCTGATAAATTTTAATCTCTCCCGATCGGTTTCGTCAATTTTAATCCTGTGGATAATAATAATGTTCATTGAAGACGATCTGTATTTTTTAGCAAAAAAACGTTTTGATACAAAGAAACGTAGCTTTGATGATATAGACGAGGATTTTATAACTCCATTTAAAAGGGGAACTCGTCCGACGCCCACACTGCATCCTAAATTTCCGAAGTTCAATTTGAACTTCGAGGATCAGATAGAAGACGGTTTGAAAGTACCGCAATACTCAATCAACGTAGGAAGAGGCCTGTATCTTGAGATAACAGAAGAGTTCAGTATATTGGAATTCGGAAGAGCAGTGACACGGGGGACATAAAGAACAGGTTGAATTTCCCGCTGGATCAATTGGAACTTTTCAAAAAGGCAATCGATGCTATGGTAGAGCACGTGGAACAGTACAAACAAAATGAGTTAATTTATTTTTTTTTTATTCGAGAGTTTTGTTACTAGTAATTGTTTTTTTAAAATTATATTTGTTTATTTAGTTATTTTTGATTGATTTTTTCACAAAATGCATGTTCGTTTTTTTCTGTTTTGTTTTTTTGTTTGTCTTTATATATATATATGTCCAAGGTTCATTGAAGACGACCTGTATTTTTTAGCAAAAAAACGTTTTGATACAAAGAAACGTAGCTTTGATGATATAGACGAGGATTTTATAACTCCATGTAAAAAGGGAACTCGTCCGACGCCCACACTGCATCCTAAATTGCCGAAGTTCAATTTGAACTTCGAGGATCAGATAGAAGACGGTTTGAAAGTACCGCAATACTCAATCAACGTAGGAAGAGGCCTGTATCTTGAGATAACAGAAGAGTACAGTATATTGGAATTCGGAAGAGCAGTGACACGGGGGACATTAAGAACAGGTTGAATTTCCCGTTGGATCAATTGGAACTTTTCAAAAAGGCAATCGATGCTATGGTAGAGCACGTGGAACAGTACAAAATGAGTTAATTTATTATTTTTTTTAGTCGAGAGTGTTGGTGTAACTAGCAATTGTTTTTTTTAAATTATATTTGTTTATTTAGTTATTTTTGATTGATTTTTTCACAAAATGCATGTTCCTTTTTTTTTTTTTTGTTTTTTTGTTTGTCTATATATATAAATGTCCAAGGTCAAATTCATAAACGAGGAAAAAAAAGTTCTAATCTCCCAGATTTATAAAGTTTTTAAGGTATAAGATTTTACAGATTTTTAAGCAATAAGAAAAGACTATTTTAAAGATAATGTTTTACATGTGGTTAAATGGCTATTCGGATTTCCTTTCCTCTTAAAGTTATTTTCTGAATATACTGATTATTTTGCTCATTATATTAATTTTTTTAGTGTTTTTTTTTAAAATATATTCTTTATTATAGTATTCTGATGAGTGTATAATTTTTTTAATCATGATATTTAACCTTCGCGATCCGCATTCGGTAGACAAACTCGAACATACAGAGCTGACACAAATTACGCCGATCCCCACGCCCTTTATAACGACGCTCGTAACATTATTTACAATATCATTAACAGTTCCCCAGTACTAAGACTTAGATTGATTATCTGCTTAAATGTACTTTTTTCGAAAAGGATCGATGACGGGAAAAATGAACTTACTCAAACTTTCTATTTTTGCTCGTATGCAGAGAGAATTTTGTATAGTTTCCAAATTTTTCCGGCAATCGACAAGGCGTTTTCGAAAATCCTAATTGCTACTGATAAATTTGTGAAAAATGGGAGCGGTTAGGTTTTAAAGCAGATAACCTTTGTAGACCTTCATTTGGGTAATTACAGATCCTTAAGAGGGGGGATGCGGATTCATACATTTACCCAAAAAGATAAAAAAGCTGTTGTTAACATAGAGTGTACCGACAAATTATTTTTTATATTATATTGCAGCCTGTCTTTATCCTTGCCGAAATAACAGCAATAAACCGTAGAAATACAAACGTTTTCTTAAAAACTTTAAACTAGGTAATATTAAATTCCCGATGACAGTAAACAAAATTAGCAAATTTGAAAAGTTAAAGTCAATGTATACAGTTTCGAAGACAATGATATTTTTCCCGTACGTGTTAGCGAGTTGGCTGAAAAATGGATTCAAATAGATTTATTTCTTTACAAAGGTCACTATTTTTGGATTAAAAATTTCGATAGATTTATGCACGAAAATAGGACTTCATTACCATTGTAAAAATCTTTAAGCAGCTTTGCTAGAGCAGAAACTTTAATTACTCACAAAAATTTATGCTACACCATTTTTCCATTGGTTCCCTGATGTTGATATAATTCCCACGGAGTGTCGAGAATTTAGGGCATTCTGCAATAAGGTGTTCAACTGTTTGGCTTTTGTCGCAGTATTTGCAGCTGGATGTCTTCTGAAAAAAATCTAGATTGGTATTCTTCGAACACTCCGTGGGCTGTGTAGAATTGGCTGATGTAAAAGTCGCAATTTAAATGTTTGTCACTGACTTTAGGAAAAAACTTGTATGCATGTCTCCCATTAGATGAACGGTCCCACCTTTCTTGCCATAAGACCCTGCTGACCTGCCGTAGTTGATTATTAAGTTGTGGTCTTGTGATAGAATAACAAAAATCTACATCACTAAGCAAGGTACCCGCTTTTGCCAGAACATCCGCTTCCTCATTTCCAGCCTCCCCCGAGTGAGCCTTAATCCAGTTGAACTGCTAATTCCTGTTTTGGATTATATTTTTAATGTTTTCAACCATGGGATCTCTTGGTGTGGGATTCTCGAGGGCCTGTAATGAGGATTTGGAGTCCGAAAAAAGTACCAACTCTTGTATATTTTTCTCATTTGCCTAAGAGATAGCTAGACGATGGCGGTTAGCTCAGCCGGGAAGATACTTGATTCACCGTTAATTCTGACAGACTGTTGATGTATGGTTTCGCCGTTAAATTTGACCAAGCAACCACTACCAACTTTGTATTCATATTCGCTGATAGCTTTGTTTTTTAAATGAGTTAAGGACGTCTTAACCCCGCCCCGCCCCTAAAGGGGCATACGGGGAATACTGTTGACCCTGTGCGCGTTCGTGACTGCTCAGCAAGAAAGATGCACTGGACAAAAGGCTTGATCACGAAGTGGCAATACTACTCGTCGATGAGGACCCGTGATTTGGAGGAGGAGGATAAACAAATGGGGTCAGCACGGGTAAGGAAAGTTAAGAGAAAAAATTAGTGTGAACGGGAAATTTTTGAAGAGTTTACCGTGGTACGGGTCTGAGTGCTGCACGCTTTAAATGAGTGAAAAATGAGTTAAAGAAAATGATGTTAAAGAAAATGATGTTAAATGAGTTAAAGAAGCTTTCGGGATTTTTGTACATGCCTAAGTATATTTTTAATTCCTCGTAATGTGTTTTAACTTCTTATATTCTGTAGTATTCGTAAATGCGTAGATTAAATGCTTCTCCGATTTCTATTTTGACATGCGGATCAATTTTAAGCATCTTCGTACCTTTTATTACAAGTTCTTCATCATTCGAGTAAAGTTTCTTTAGTAAAAATGGTGAGGATTCTTTTGTAAAAATCACTTCCGTGGTATCTGCCACATTAATTGTTAATTCCATTTTCACGAAAAAAGAAATGTAGAGATATTCTGTTTTGGGACTTTAAGGGATGATGTGTAGGGATACAATGAATGCACGACTGGCCTTTTTACCTACTTTTGGTTGTAGTATTTAATGCAGGAACGACAGCTTCTGCATGACTTTTGGTGTATGAAGTTTCCCATTTAAGCTTTGCCGGAATTGTTCGGATTTTTGTCCTCCCCCCTCCAGTTGGGGAGAGTGGGTGAGAACTTCTGCATTCACCATCTAACATCTAAATAAAGCCTGTGAAGAATTTATTGGCTCATGACTCCTACTAATTTGAACTAAAAACGACCTAAAATAACAGGGTTGTAGCCCTGTTATTAGATATACATATATGCAAATTTTTTTGAAATTTGAAATCATCAATTAAAATGTTAATCAGTTATTATTATTGGAAATTTGAATGTTTCAGTAATTTCGTTTGCCTAATGTACACTTGAGTTATTCACGAGTGATTGCATTTATATTTATTTTCTTTATCTACGTAAATAAATACTGCGAGTATCGCGTAGGTTACCTTATAATAGCTACTGATAATTTTACATCGTTAGAAAACTATTTTGGGATCATGAAGTGCACCATTGTACTTCCTAGATAATTATACTTGCCGGTGCTTCCTTACAGAAGTAATAAGAAGTTGATGTTTCCGCTGTGTAGAGTGTGTGCCGATTCATTGCAACAAAGTCCCTGCATCCATACAAACGATGAAAGCTCTCTAATCGGTACATGGGTTACTGAGGAAGTAAAAATGGGACTGAAAAAGGTGATACAAAATAACCGAGGTAATGCAAAATAATTGACTTACAATTTAAATGCTTAATTTGTATTGAATATATTCATATTATAATTTTTTCAGGTTCACCACTTCGAGGAAACTTCCTCTACACTGTTCAACTCTTTCATTGACTTATTCCTCAAAATAAAGCAAGAGTCAAGTGGCTTGCCCCGCTGAGTGTGTCACTGAGAAAGATGAAGTTAATTATATTGTAGATTATTTAAAAAAAGAAGGCGTGGCATTGGATATTTCAAAGATAATGAAAAGAAGAAGGGCAGTAGCCATGCTTATTTTGAAAAGTTTTTGGGGTCGGTAAGTAATCGTTATTCCTTATTTTACTAACACAGGTGAACAAGTGCGGCAGATTACGTAGCTAAGTCAACTAACAATATAACAAACAACTCACTTACTTACACAGATATCAAAAATGCGATTGACAATAAACAATATTTACACTGGCAAAATGATTGGGAAAATGAAATAAATAATAAATTACATGACATTAAACCTTCTATAGAATCTTATATAAGTCTAAACATAAGTCGAAAGCAGGAAGTAATATTAAATCGCTTGCGCATTGGTCACTCTCGAATAACTCATAAACATCTTTTATTAAACGAACCTGCACCCGAATGTTCTCATTGTAGGGAACCGCTCACTATTAAACATATTTTAATCAAGTGCAACAAATTTAAAACACAGAGACAACGCCATTTTGGTAGCTGTAATCCATTATTGACTTTTTTAATTGGAGATAAACCACACAATGACATTTTTAACTATCTAAGGGACAATGGTTTTTCCAAATCAATTTAGCTTTAACTTATAAAATGTTTCTTTTAAAACAAGTTGTAGGTGCGGTATGGCCAAAAGTGGCTCTTGCGCCAATAATTCTAAACAAACAAACAAACAATTTATTTTGAATTTATTACAATCAATTTTTTATGTTTTATAGGTGGGGGATGAACAGCAATAAGGGGTCAGTAACTACACTCGCTCAATTCAACAAACATCTCGCTGATGTTACCAAAAATGTGAGTTTCACTCTTTTTTTCTTACTTTTGATATAAATGAAGAAAAAGAAACATACTTTCTTTTAGAATATCCATGAAAACAAATGTAATTTTTTTCAGATAAAAGATGTGTATTTTCCCACCGATGAAGTTGCTGCTATGTCCTTGGAATATAAAGAAGAATTTATTACTTCAACCAAAATGCTTCAACGAACATCTTTTTAGCAGCATTCACTGCAGCATGGGCGCGTCTTAAGTTATAAGAAGAGATGGTGAAGCTGGGTGAGTGAGTATTATATCACGACACGGTCTCTATCATCTATGCTCAAGATGGTAGTAATGCTCGGCAACTTTCTTGGTGAGTTTCAACGGAGGAATTGAATGGCAAATTGATTACAACGTTCGCATCTGGTAATTCTAGACTTTTCCCCCCCTTCCTGATAACTATTGGTATACAATCGAAGTGTTATTTTTTTAGGTGGTTCAAAAAATTATGCATACCAGACATCTTCGGGGAAGACTTGTTGCAAGGAGCGGGGTTTCACTAAAAACTCCCAAAAGCTGAACTTTCATTCCATAAAGAAGATGGTTATAGATTTGTCAGACAAACCTATTCTTCTGCACAACCCTGCCAAGATTTGTCGAGAGAAGAAGAAAAGAAAAGTTTTGAACAAGCCTGAAACC